ATGGGTTACAGTAATGCTCAAATAGAGTTTAGACTGTAGTTGTAGACCTTCCTGTTCTAACTTGTTAGAACTGTGTTTGTGTCGAATAGGAAAATATAAACTTCATTTAAAATACAAATTATATTTAAATAGGTAACAGCTGATTTCAGGGAGTGGGTTAAAAGAAAGTGTTTAATAAAGAAATTCTTCGGATAGCCAGAATTATTTTAAACTCAAAGACAGAGCAGTGACTTTGAAAACACTGGTAGAACAAATAAACTTGTATTCTTTGCAATCCAAAGTTAGTGAGCTATAAATGGCTCAGTTAACAAAACACAGTTTTAGTCATCATTGCAAATGCAAAAGGCATATTTATCAAGTGTCATTAATTTACATGATTAAGTGTCAAGTGCATGATTCATAAATTTATGCTCATTTAAAAAGGCATACACATTTCCCAGTAGGGGTCAAGGAGCTGAGTAGGAAAAATTAAATTAAATTCCAACTAATCTGTCTAAGAAATTTTAGCTTTGTGTCAACAACTTAGTCTGTAATTATGGTCAATGACATACAGATTGGAAAGATATAACCTCAAAATTCCAATACGTACAGTACAAAGCACTTGTGTTTGGGGGGAAGTGTTTGTTTCATTAAGTATTTAATGTGATAAGAAATTTTTTAAAATTCTCACGCCATTGAAATAAAGTTAATTTTACCTGAAGACCATGCCTCAGGATGGCTTGATTCAGTGAAAGGAGGGAAGAAATATGACCAGGAATGCAAGGAATAGTAGGGAATCTCAAATGAAATGAAGGGTTTTCAAAATGATTTTTACATTTGCCATCATGTATAGGGTACAATGTCCGATTAACCCAGGATTTAACAGATTCTTATTGCATAATGCATTTTGTAGCATCACTAAATTTAAATATTTTTCAAAACTTTAACATACATTGCATAAAGGCACTTTCCAGATTGGTTGATATATATCTATATATCTAGCTAGCTAGCTAGCTGGATGGATAGATAGGTATAATCACTTTATCAGAAAAGGAAAAAGGTAGGACTTTAGAACACTTGAACCCGGACATATTTGAATCCAAGGAACTACTTCAAGGTTATGGTATGCTGGGTAACCTGCTGCTGAGATTATCAAAGGTTACCTAAATTGAAAATATTTCCCATTTTTAGTTTTGTGTGTTTTATTAACAACTTTGGAAAATATACTGCGATATATAGGGAGGGAGGATGTCTTCTGCTTCCTATCTCAACTTTATTCTCCATCATCTCCAAGTACTAAAATAGAAAAGCTATTGGGGTCTAATTGATCAAGATTTAAACAAAGAAGCATGTTGTTTTAGCCACAGCTGTCCATTAACTTTCTGAAGTAAATTATTCCTTTCCTTTCACTTTTCCTAATTTGCCCAACTTCAACTTGTGATATGGCTATTTCAGCCTCCCAGAGTGCTGGGATTCCAGGCGTGCACCGCTACAGCTGACTACTCTCACCCCTGCGGCCCATTTCACTTTTTATCTGGGTCGACTGTATATAGCTATCTGGGGCCATGGGAAAGGAATGCAGAAAAGCTATGAAGATAGATGTGTTGAACTGAGGCTGAGCAGATTGGAGGAAAATGATTACGACCTCAGCCCATACTTTATAAATGCCCTTTCAACTCTAGGCACATATGATTTCTGAGTCTGTAAAGATGATTTGTATATTGGCCTGATACTAAAATGCTCTCATGAAAAACTTGGGGAGAGAATTTTGAAGACACAGAGGAAATGTAATGCTACCAAACTTTTCGGACAAAAGCCTTGGCTCTTGGTGGGGAGAGGTCCCAAAAATCAGCCTCATCCACCCCACCCATTCTGCCACTCATGGAGATATGTAGTAGTGACGGGCACAAAATGGAGCTTTAATCAGCATGGCCACTCTGGGAAGGACACTGTAAAGGTTCATGATCTGGCTTCATGGAGCCATCAAGAAATGTGAGGTTTCAGAGAAATGGGAAAATGCAAGGATTGAAGGTGTGCATAGTTTGGAAGGTCAGAACAGTTTGAAGAGCTGGCCCTGGTTTGACTCCTGATCAAACCAAGGTCTAGTTGACCATTGCTTCAGGGCCATTTTTGCTTCTGTAAAGCCATCATCACTTGAGGGGGTAATTCGGTTGTCACTGTGAAATGATTGAATGGGGAAGTTACTTCCATTAGGGGTCATTCTCATCAGGAGATGAACTGCTCTGTGATCTGACAGTTCACTATTGTGATGCCCCCCTGAGTCCAGTAGCACTCACTTTAATTTGATTATATCTGAAAATCATCTAGTTTTAAATTTAAATAAGAGCTTCTATAAGGGTACCAGACCTAAGACTTTTATATATCTCTTGGAGGAGCATAATTCAATCCGCAGTATCTGAAAACTAATTTACAGGAATTTGAAATCACTCTGTTGTTATATTTACTGCTACTTTCCTCAGGTTTTTAAAACATTTGCTTTTGGTATTTTGTATTTAAATTAGAAATATCTCATCAACCATTCAAACATATGCAATAGATTCATGGGATTACACTGGGAATGTTTTTCAAATAGTGACAAATTAAGAAAAAAGTTTTTGAAAAATATGAACCACATCATTGTGCTTTATAGCACTTTTGATATTTCTTCTCCATGTCAAAGATTTCTATAATCTCTTACATTCCCTATATTGTTTTCCATACATATACATTATGTATATATATATATTACATATTAGTAAAGCACACATTTTCTTCTTTCTTTTTGTACTTTCTGTCTTACTCAATTCTTACTTCCAAGAAATTTTCCATGAGTTTCTTTTCACAGAGAACACAAGTTAGTGTATCTGCCAAGTATTTAAATTGAGCATCTTTCACAAATTAATAAATGTTATTGTACAACAAAGCAACATAAACACACATATATATACATAAGTATTACACTACACAATTTCAAAATTCCTGGCTTGAAAATTTTTTAACCATCTTAGCCTCCTACTAATTTTTCCTACAAGGGTTGTGAATCTACTGTTTTAACTTTGTACATGGAATGAATACTCAATGTTAATTTCAAATCAAACAATAACGTTATTTTGGCAGGGTTGAGCCAGCTTCTCTGAGAGGCCTCTTTTTTATTCTTTTCCATAGCTTTTCAGCTTTCTTCAGCTTACTTCATGCCCTGCAAATCTGCCTAACCACATCCTCCATCATTGTCAGAGACTTCATTGCTCCTGCCTCACTCAGGAACTGGAGATTGTTAGAGTACAGATGCATGTTCCCTTCTATTTCTCCCTCCTCCTGGCGCATCTCTACAGCAGATTGTCACCCCATTTCTAATATTTTTCTGCAATGCTCTACACACCCTATGTGACCAAAACTGAGTTTTCCACATTTGTCCTCTCTTCTCATTCTTATGTTTAACAAGCGTAAAGAAAAACAACTTCTGTTTGTTCAACATTCTGTCGCACAGTGTCTCTGTCCATTTTCTATTGCCATACCAAAATATGACTGACTACATAGTTCATGAAGAAAACAAACATTTCTCACAATTCTGGGTGCTAGAAAGCAGAAGAGTATGGTAATTATAACTGGCAATGGCCTTACTTTGCACCATAACAAGGCAAGATTGACAGTGAACATGGCCGAGGCAGAGAAGAAATTGTGCTGTACTTATAATTATTGTCAAGGTCCTATTCCTGTGATGTCAGCATTCATCAGCTCATGAGGAGAGAACCTTAATGACCTAATCATCATAAAAGCCACACTTCTTAATACTGTGGCAAGGGCAAATCAATATCAGTGTGAGTTTTGGAAAGAACTTTTAAACCATAGCATTAAATAATGGGTCCAGTGTATCACCAGTGTTTTATTCATCAGTTCATTCCATTGGTGGAAGAGGAATTCCTGCCCTAGAGCTCCATGGCAAATCGAGCACATCATACCCAAGTTGGACAGATAAGGTGCACAGTAGTACATTCCTCACATAGCCTCACAGCTTGGGGGATGGGAAATTATGCCACGCAAGGCCACCACCATGGGAAATGAGTGACTCAGCCGGGATTGTGGGAGGTAGGCTTTGTAGTGACAAGAAGGAGTAAACCCTGTTTCCCATAGAAAGATGAGTTGTGTTTGGATTCAGTGAGTAATTCTGTGAGCTTCTGGGAACTAAAATCTTCTCAGAGGTAAAAACCAAAACAAAACAACCCCCCCAAAAAAAAAACCCACTCTTCTTGGTCTCCGTATGAAGGAAGGTTGTTTAGCTCTGAGACATTACCTAAGAAATTCACTGGTGAGATAAACTTGTGGTTAGAGCTCTGGAGATTCCCCATTTTTTCCCAGAAGTCAAGGCATATATACATACAGCAGGTCATGATTGTAACCCTAAAACCAGTCAGGTCATTCTTGACATTTTCATTTTCTTTCTCTTTTCCTTTAACCTTCCAATCACTTTACATGCTCTGTCAGCTCTACCATAGTAACCCTTACCTCTTATCCACCATGTGTGTGCTCGGTCACACACACACACACACACACACACGTATACACACACACACTCATGCACACACATATGCACATACACATTTTATTTGACTTATTTTTCCTGCTTTTCAGTTAGATTTGACTCAGCGTCCACCTTTCCTGGGTCTGGATTTCCTCGGTGAACTTCCTTATGTTTCTGAGAAGCATCCTCTTGTCTTCACAGCCTTCCACGCTTAACTTATCACTTAAAGGATCATCGAGGAACAACTATGTAGTCATCTTTTTTGCACGGTAGACTCTATCCTTTAGATACCAAAATTATATTTTTTGTACTGTATTCCTAATGCACACAGTAGGTACACAGTAAATACATTTTAAATTTTTAAAAATGATTTTGAGGTAAATGTACATTGATCTTAATATAGCTAAATCAACTTGGTTAAAAGTTGTAAATCCCAGTAGTCCAGACACTGGATTTCTTGCTAGCAGTTTTCCCACTTACCTCTTCTTGTTTGGCTACTCACCAAGCTTTGTTTTGATACAGGATGCTAGCTGGCACCATTAGTGATGTATTGGTTTTCCCAGGCTCCCAAGAAGCATTTTGGTCTTCACGGGGCAGCATTAATTCTTGCTATTGGTCTGAGAACCCAATAGAGCAATGTGATTTACTTCTGCTTTCATCCCTCTGCAGTCCCAGGTAACACCTGCCAGAGTATGACTGCTGTATCAGCAAAGCAAATGGGAAACAAATGAATGTGTATTTCAATCCCCAAAGAGAAACCCATTACCACTACAGCTAAGCCTGACAGTTTAGGACTCCCGTTTGACTTCAGAGAACATGAAATGCTCCAGTACTTTTTGAAATCATTTGCTCATATGCGGCCACAGCTCACATATCCCAGTGTGTCCTTTTGCTTCCTACCCCAAGGGGAAGAGAAATACGAACCTATTCCATTCAGTGACCACTGAATAATGTTTGTTACTATCAGGTTTCATTGGCTTCAATGCTGTTATTTGTTGAAAATATGTGGTTGAATCTCAAAGGCAACAACATTCCCCCAGGGCAACCATTAGGCAGAAAGGGAACAGAGTTGTAAACAGTCAGTTTGTAAAATAGGGGTTTCCAGAATGAATGGCGTCAAAATTTTGTGTGTTGAATATTCCATAGCTTACAATATGCAATTTATAGACAGTGAGGGAATTGAGGATGGTCGCTCCAAACACGATTTCCAGGAGAGATATTTCCTTCCTTCTTTCAATGGTTGGATAGAGGAACCTAGAATGTAGGTGAGTAGAGAAGAAGAGAGAAAATAAATGACATAAGTACAATGTGACAAAAGGTTAGAGCTTCAAATTCCTTGGAATAAAGTTCCTTTTTGCTGATCTTATAAGTACCTTCATGTGCCATATAAAGTTTCTGTGGATGATGGGCCCATATGACAATCATCTCATAACTCTTCATCGGAGCTGAACAATTTCTACATCTTAGTGATGTCACAGCCTCCCTGATGTTGAAGCCCAGCACTTTATATGTCTATGGTGATGCTGATTTAAAAAATCCTGATACTATCCCAGTTCTCTAAAAGTATAACACTACATGTAATAATCCAGTACTTGACAATAATAACCGACTGTGTTACTCACTTATGTATATGGTGTACCATTTTTACAGCTATTTTAGTGTACTCTTTCTACTTATCACAGAATGGTTTACTGTGAAAATTCTGTGATACATAAGCAGCAACTTCATACATCTCAGGTTTACTATCTACTGATTGCATTACTTTCTCTTTTGGTTGTTTTAATTCTGTGTAGGTTTTTTTTTTTTTTGTCATGGTCCTGGGGACATTGGCTGTACAATAGAGAAGCTATGCAGCTGAGGTGTGCAGAAGGCCCTGGTAATGAGGCTTGTGTAAGCACTCTGTGAGGTTCAAATATTGACAAAATCAGCAAAGAATGCATTGCTCAGAATATATCCCCAATTCATAACTGTGTGTGCTTTGCCATAGGCTTTGAGTTAATTTGTCACTTGTCATCTAGCAAATAACACTGATGGACAAAAATTGCAACAGGATATTTCTTCCTAAAGGAGAAAGAAGGTGATCTGAACCAAGATATATTAAATTCATAGGAACTATTCTGTCCAGGATACCTCTGGGTTTTAGGAGAAAGATAGACTCTCTATTTTATTACACACACTAATGTATATGTATATAAATACATATCATTTTTATAGATAGTATGCAAATTTAACGAGATTCTCACATTTTCCAATCGCTATCTTTTCTAAAGTTTTAAGACAATTACAAGGAAAATAGTACAATGTCTGAGATAGAGCAATGTAGCCCAATGGATATCATGGTGTCCATTGCTTTGCTGCTAATTTTCCCTGCCTACAACCCTGTACTCCACTTAAATACTGCAAATATTTTATCTTTTTTGTAAAGATATTTTTATTTAGAAAATAAAGAACTGTTAATTAGTTGCATTAGTATTTCTACTGATGACTCTGAGTCAGAGGTTAGCAATAAGCAGAACTTTATAATTATAATACACAGACCTGTATCAATAAGTAATATGCATTTAATTTGAGGCATGTTAAAATTAATTTACATGTCACCAAGCATCCACGTTTAAGAAAAATTTTGTCACTTTTTCATGCAGTTTTAGAGATCTATTCTTGTTGACACAATAGATAATTTATTTTGAGTATTTCTCATGATAAATCTCAAAATGTTGCTCTATATAGGAATACACAACGGATTTCTTTTCAAATGTCTGAGGTATGCAGCATTTGAAAGAAGAATTTTCCCTACTTATATGTTGTAGATATGTCTTTCAAATCAAATTCCTAGAGTGAAATTAAGCTTTAGACTGAATCTATTCATTAACTTTTCTTAAAGTTATTTTGACACCCCGAAGCTTTAGCTAAAACTTTGCTTTCTGATTCTATTTAACTTTGAAATTTACAGAAAATTTGATGAGCATTTGGGTATCTGATATTCTTAACTTCATGAATCAAATCTTATGCTCCTACTTTATTACTGGATATTTATTGATATTATAAAATTCCTATACTTTCGAAGGGCATTTCGAAGGACAAAAGTTGATAGGAGCAATCAATGTTTATAAAACACAGAAGATAAATTTCACTGTCCATTTAAGGGAAAAGAATTTAAGACACAAAATCTGTTATAGTTAACTAATGACATAGGCAAAATGAATCAAAATAATTGAAAATGTTTGGTCTTAGCATAATAAAGTATATATTCAGATTGAGTTAACTGTAGAATAATTTGAGTTAATACCTCTAAACACTAGTGAAAGTATCTTCTTTTTTTTTTTTTTTTTTTTTTTACAAATTTTGTATACAGTTTATGTCAAAGGCAATAAAGAATCATGGAATGTTGTTTGCAGAGCTATTGCAATTAAAATTGAGATTCCCTTGCCTTACATTTATAAGCTTCCACCATGTAAATGAGATTTGCCTTTTAAATGTACCTTCGTTGTGTACATATACAATAGACCTTAACCTAATAGACTTGTTTGTAATTTCAGCACATATTCCTTTCTCCATAGTGTGTTTTTCATTCTGAGTTTTCATCTGTCATTTTTTTTTGGAAATTAAATTTTCTTCTTGTACCATATTCTCTTCTCCTTTCCCTCTTCTTACCCAAAATTTTGCATAAATACTGGGTCTTCATGAGTATATATTTCTTCCTCTTCTTTTCTCTTTTAGAATAAGGAAGGTACTCTTTTATTTATATATTATCTGATTCATAGTAGCCACTCTGCTAGGCTCTGGGGATATAAAAAAGGAAATATGAGAACTCATATGTTGGAGATTGGTTAGACAGATATTTAATGAATCATTAATAAAACAGGGTGATTAAAAGAAATAACTCAGATAAGCATAGCTTCTACAAAAGCAGAAACTAGTGAAAAATTCTGTTCGAATGCATCTAGGAAGCCCTTTCTCTGTGGCAATATTTCCATCATTATTAATCAGGGGAAGTATGCAAAATCTTCTCAGGAGGAAGTGTTAATCACAGTCCCTTCCCTGATCTTTCATGGTGCATGCCTGACTGAGGACATTGACTAAAACCTAACCTACATGAAACAAGAAATAAAAATGTGCTGGATTAATATTTCATTCAAAAAGTCATGACTTGCTAAAGTTTCTAGCATATTTGAGAAACACTTTCTATGGAGAGCATAGACAAGATTGGAGAAGGCAGAGGGCAGGCGAATGTATGATCTAGACAGAGGCTCCATCTTACTTGCCTGTGTTTGTGGGTTAGTCATTTTTGCTTTATAAAAGAGCCTTGTGTGTCTATGTGCTGTCCCTTCAAGCAAGCATCTGTGTGTCATCATTAGGTCCAGGGAGTATGTCAAACAGTGCACCCACATTAATCACTTACGGTTTTGAAGAAGTTTCAGTTGAAGTCATGAACTTGATGTAGAGTATTAGTAATGTCTTCTCCCGGGCTATGATACATATCATAATATGTAGACCTATTCCACAACACTTAATGTTCAGAAATGTAGCAGATCCCTAGGTATGTTTTCTGTTTATGATAGCTAATGCTTCACAATAGTAAATCACCAACTTTATGGCCTTTGAAATTTCAATGCTTTATGGAGTGTTGACTAGAGGTCAGGCACTTGGATGGGCATCTTATGCATTTCAAATATTGCAATTCCCCATTTTCATGAGTTGGGAACAACTGTTACGTCTGTTTTCCAAATGATAAAATTGTGTCACAGGGAAATTTTACACAATTCCCATTGTTTTATAGCTACAGCAAAAGCAGTTCAGATACTTTTAATTCTTGAAATCTACTTCTATAATTCGGTAGGAGTCCTGAATTGTATAATTTAAGATTAGATGTTTTTGAAACAATTTGATTAAAACAAACTATTTAACAGTAAATATATTTCTTTGTTAGTTTGTTAAAATTGCATAAAAATACCACAAACTGAGATGTTAAACTTCAAAAATGAATTTTTTCACAGCTGTGGAACAGAGAAGTCCTAGACAGAGGAAGTAGCAGATATGGTTGCTTCTGAGGTCCCTCAGGAAAGGGTTTGTCCCAGCCCCCTCTCCTTGTCTTGAGATGGCTGTCTTATTCCGATGTCTCTTCAAACCATCTGTCATATATATACAATTTCTCTCTGTATCTTAACATTCTTATTTTGTAAAGACACTGGTGACACTAGTAATGTAAACTATACCTTAGTGACCTTACTTGGGTGTCTCTATAAAGGCTCTATGTCCAAATGAAGTTACATTCCTAGGTACCATGGATTCTACTATGGACATGAAATTTCAGATAAACAATTGAGCTCGAGGCCAGGGATATAGCTCAGTGGCATAAGTGCCTGCTTGGCAGGCACAAGGTCCTGAGTTCGATTTCCAATACCAAAAAAACAAAACAAAACAAAACAAACACAATTGAACTCTCACCAATTTATAGGAATAAAAAGCAAGCAACATAATAAAATTTACATTGTAAATTTTGTTTCTTTTAAAAAAAGTACTGGTTTTAGTTAAGAAACATGAAGAAATAGACACTGAAAATGTTAGATGAGCAACATATAAAACTCCTTTTTAAGACAGTTTTAAAAATGTGACATAAATAAAATGATAGTTTGCTTTTAAAAGTTTCACTATCAAGTCTGTTTTCAAAGAAAAATTGAAGGGTCTCCATGCTAATGTTGTGTGCTATCTGTATATCTTAAACAGATTTAGGCTGAATTTGACTCTTGTTCAAAGGACATTTTGTGATTAATTTAAAAAAAAGTCTAATTTAATAGTAATTTTCCATGAAAATATTTTTAGC